TTCTTTCCCATCGCTCTGGATCAAGCTGCTGTGCTTGGTGTGGTTGACAAATTCCCAAAGTAATCCCTCAAAAGATTGGAGAAATGCTCCAAACGCTCCATTAAATTTATTTTCCGTGCTTTAAAAGACCCCAAACTATATCCAATAAATAAGTGTTCCTTGTGATTTATTGAAATGCTGGCCTGATTTAAAGTTATACGAGTTGTGCAGGGGGGCGGTGGGAATGTCACCCTTGGGAGTATGAAGACCAGCTTTGCAAGTGAGTCCAGATGTGCAATTTCTGCATGGGGGAGGGGGAGGGATGGGGCGGTGGTGATAAAGGAAGGAGAGAGAATGGGGAGAGCATTAGCCAAAATGCTAAAGGTTTCCTAGTGACAATGGGAGAACCTTGTTCCCAAGCTTTAACATAAGAAGTCCCTCGTTGTGTTTTCTTTCTTGCAAAATTTATTGTGGTTGTAGTTACTGGGGGAATCATCAAAAGCCTCATTCTGGCCTGTGCTTTTGCACAGCTCCTTTGATAAATATGATACTTAGAAATATGCCTCCCACAAGACAGAAAAGCCATAGAGTTAAAATGAAGTAATCTGTCAGTAAACTCACAGAAATCAAAGCCAGAATGAAACCTGTAAAAGAGAGGGGAGGGGTGGGCTCTGCGTTTTAGGAGAAGACAGAGATTAAGGACTATCCTTTCCACACTATTTTTATCTACAAAGTTAAAAGTGAAGATTTATTTTTAAAAGGGCCTCTATGTTTGGCTCTTGAGCAGATGGACACTGTTCCTTCCTGTCTTTCTGAAGTCCCAGGGCCTCAGTACACACACACATGCCATTTCCCCTTTTGTCCTTTATCTGCAACTTCACCTGAAAGTCACCCCTTTCTCTGCATGCTGATCTTCAGAAGCTTCACGGCAAAGTCAGGTGGCATTTTATCCATTTACAGCCATCTCTTGCAGCTTTATTTTATTGTATTGCCCTGGGGAGACATCGGTTCAGCTACCCACTTAGCCATGAAGCCCACTAGATCACTTTGGGCCAGTCGTTGACTCTTTGCCTAACCTCCTTCACAGGGTTGTTGCGAAGGCTGAATCGGAAGGAGGAGGGTCCACATGCTGCCTTAGGCTCCTTTTGTGGAAAAGGTGGGATATAAATCAGTTTTATAACACTTTTGTAATTGATTCCTGGAATCTATAGTGCTGCAAACTCCTTCTGTCCTGGAATTACTTGGCTAGGCTGTTTGGTGTTAGCTGCAATTAACTAAGGGGAGGGGTAAGAAGCCATTCTGCACCAAAGCAATGGCGCGTTGTTTATGTTTTTACCTCACTTTTCTCTGATTTTTTTCTCTGAATTAGAAAAACACCAAAACAGCTCACAAAAGGTAGAGCAAACCCTACACAGACACATTTTGACTTGTTTAAATGCTTAATTGCATATCCCATCTTTCAGCCGAGTTCGTTCATGGTTCTTCTCATACCCCCTTTTTTCCCTAAATGGGAACCCTAAACTAGGCTGAGAGATAATGGCTGGCCCAATTCACCAAGTGAGCCGCATGACCATGTTGTGACTGGAAGCCAGATCTCCATGGTCATATTCAGACACAGTAATCACAGCACTATACTATATATGATATAAACAGCACAATTAAACACACACAGAGGCAAACATAATAAAACAACAGAAGCAAGCTCATAGCAACATCAGTGTGCTGCTATTAAAATGCAACACCCCAAAAATGTCCATTGAAAAAAGTCTTTTCTTGGAATGAGATCAAAGATGGTGCCAAGATAGAGAGCCAGCTGGAACAGCGGTCCTTCATCTTGGCAGTGACTTCCAAAATGCCTCCCTGCTGCATGATTGTGGGTAGAGGTTAGACTCTTCTCCCTTAAGCCAGTGGGCCAGAACCAGTTCCCACCTGGGATCCCAGTCTGGCCCATGGGAGCTCCCCAGAAGGCCATTCCATTTCCCCAAAGCCACCCCTACCTGCCATCTATCAATTATTTGGTGACTTTTCCCCCTGTGCTAAAAAGATGAAATGTCTCTCCAAGGGCTTGGTTACCAGCAGTTCAGGCTTTGAGATACAGTGTGTTGTTGTTGTTGCTACTCTGGGCCTGCTCTGTTTGCCTTTTGTTCCACCCAACAGTGGAATTAAGCTCTGCAGAGCCTCTCCACATTTTAATCTGGCCCTTGAGCTATACCCGGTTCAACATTCTGCCACAGAACATGGAGCAGAAGAAAAGCAATCACTACCTTGCCACCCCTACACATGACCCTCGAAATGCCAGAGGACAAACAGAGATGGACTTGTGCATTGGTGACACCCTTCTTCTCACACCAAGGGCCAGATGTGCACTGTGAGGGTGGGTAAGTGATTACACTGATGCATTCTTTTTGCACGCACAGAGATGGTAGCCAAAATGCCATTTGCCTTCCACATAGAGACTTGACACCAACGAGGAGGCTGCTGCATAAAACAAATAGATACATGCACTGACGATCTTGTAAAGGCATCCGCTAAAACTTCCCCTAAAGCTGGATGGTTGACCAGAAAACGGGAAGCGTCCCTGATCGATAGGGGGCAGTTTTTACTGAGTACTGGGGTAATGAGTACCTCCAACTGAGCTGCTGACTCATATGGTAAGCTCATTTCAAGAGCATCCTTCATTATTTTGACAGGTCAGGAAAAGTGTGTCAGATGAAGTTCCTATGGACATATAAGGAACTTATGTGCCATCTGCATCCTTGAATTTTCCCTCATATGTTTTTGCTGTGCATGTTCTATATAGCCTGAACTGCCTGATCCTGCCTAATCTTGGAAGCTAAGCAGGGTCAGGCCTGGTTAGAATCTGGATGGGTGTCATGTGTATATGAATGTAAACTGCCCAGAAAGCTTTGGCTATGGGCAGTATAGAAATGTAATTAATAGGAATAGTTTGTTTTTAAAAGTAGGAAATCAGATTGTTCTCTCTGTCATACTAGCTTTTTGCAAGCGGGGAAAGAAGGAGCATGCACCTCTGCAGTCTCCCACCTGTATTAGTCACAAATCTGTACTGCACAGGTGGGTCCCCCCCCCACCCCAGCTTATAGATTGGCTCTGGAATGTGCGGCAACCCCACCACCTCTGTCACCCCAGTTCTGTGCACCCTGCATCGCCTGCTTCCTTCATTGTCTTGGCTGGTTTGGATGGAGTTAAAAGGGAATTGTCTCTCACAGCACCTGTATTTGCATGACTCAATCTTCAGTTTACTGTAATAAAATCATTTAATACCATCATAATTTCTTTTGGCAAGGCTCGTGTTGATGGTGAGTGATATGGAATGAAGCTGACTGACAGTCTTCTGATTAAAACAGTAAATCAAAAGCAAGTTTGCTTTTAACAGGAAGCAACATGAAAAGCCAGTTTGGAAGGCTCAGACATCGGTGGCTGGTAGTGCGGCTGTACTTATAGAGGCTGCAGATGGGCACACCTCTCCTCAGAACTTCAGCCAAGCTAGCAATCCAGCACTACCCCACTTGGAAATGGGCTCGAACACTGAAAGAGGAGAAAAACAACAACAAACAAATGACAAGCTTTCTCTTGAAAGCTCAGCAGCTACAAGCAGTCTGGGATAAGTAATAAACACAATGAGAACACCCTGCAGAAAAGGCATCTCAAGACAAGCTCAGGAGTACAGGAACACAGGAGGACTTGTTCTCCTGCCTCCTGTGTCAGTCAAGGCCCCCTTTGATCTTCATCTCCATTGAATCAACCGGCTTCATCCCCCAGTCTGTAAACCAGGATTGGATGTGCAACCTGACCCACAGCTCCCACAATCCCCGATTATTGGCCATTCTGGCTGATGGGTGCTGTAAGACACCAGGTTGTCTACTCTAGCCCAGAGGATGCTTCGACAGGGTCATCTTCTTCTGGAGTAGGAGATCAGGTGAAACGAGCCACAATCATTTTTACAATGCCATTGTGATTTGCAAACATTTTGGACTGAAATGCTGTAGCCAGGAGAGGCAGAGTCAGTCCTAAAACAGAATCACTGCAATGCCAGAATCATCCAGCTACCAGCTGTAACCAGACCACTTCTCTGAAGCCTCTCTGAGCCCCAACTAAATGTGAGCCAATCTCCTCTAGGGTCCTCCCCACCAAAAAAGAAAAAGATCTTGTCTTTTAAAAAAGGGGGTTTGAACCTTCCTTTTCCTCAGTCTATCCCACCTCAAAAAGCTGGAGCTCCTATTTAGTTTCCTGACAACTTGAGGCAGGGCCAAACACCAAGCTCAGCTAGAGACACTTTATTTTGAGTAACAAGCACCTCGGTGGGTTTAGTTTAGCAGGGGCCAGATTCACATGAATTCTTTACCATGTGGTTCTTCCAGCATAGGGTGCAATTCATACATGACCTAAACCAGGCTTCCCCAATGTGGAGCTCTTCGGTTCCCAATGCTCATGAGTGCTGGGAGGTGTAGCTCAAAATAACCGAGGTAAGGTGGGTCTCTCCCAAGCTACTCCTGCTCCTCCACTGGAACTGGTGATGCAAGCGTGGAGGAGAACCGATGTGATTCGGGGTAATGGCCTACGTTGGTTCTGCCACGGTTAGCCCCACTACACAGAGGCAAGTGCTCTGTGGTTATTTTCATCCCTGAATTGGGCCTCTGAGCTCAGTATGCTGATTGATTGATGGAAGAGGAAGAGGAGTATTTTGCCAGCTAGATGAAGGACTTAGACATGTCCATTCTAAATTCCCAGTGAGGGAGAAGAATTCAGGAAACCAGGAAGAATCCAGAGAAAGACATGGAGATACAACAGGATAGGAGGTCAAGTGTGAACGAATCAAAACACTTTTAATCATGCAAAACAATGTGTTCATTTTTATTAGTTGTGCCAAAAAAAAAAAAAAGATCGACATATTTAGGTAAAGTAATTGCTTTTGAAACAAATGCTCAAAGGAGAAAAAACATTTTGGAGAAAGTCTCGTGGACGGGGCCTGGAGTTCTTGTCTTTACTTTACTTATGCAATCATTCTTACCTGGCAGGAGAAACACCTTGATCATGAAAGTTTTCCCAGGGTGAATTTCATCCATTGCATTCCAGCTATGCTGGCTCCTGAAATTTTCCCAAATGCAAGAAAGTCCACTGCATAATTTGTGCTATTGCAGGACTGTGTCTAACACAGGGCAATATGGTGTAGTGGTTAGAGTGCTGGACTGGGACTTAGGAAATCCAAGTTCTAGTCCCACCCTCACCAGGAAGCTCACTAAATAACTTTGGACCAGTCCTGGACTCAGCCTCACCTGTCTTGCAGAGTTGTTCTCCGGATAAAATGGAGAGGGGAGGCTTCATGTACCGCATTTTAATATTTATTACATGCATTTATACCCTATCCTATCACTTCAAGTGCTCAGCATGGCTTACAAAATATATAAAAATACAATAAATATAAAACAACTAAAAAACATTAATTATTAAAACAATATAAAACATCACTATAAAATGTGACTGTTAAAAAAGGGAAAAGAAATAAAATCCTCAAGCATCTAAAAACATTAATTGTTAAAATAATGATCAAATAAAAAGGTCTTGACCTGGCACTGGAAAGAATATACTGTCGGCGCCAGGCAGACCTCTCTGGGGGGCAGATTCCATAGTCTGGGTGCCACTGCGGAGAAGGCCGTCCTCCGGGTAGACACCCTCTGTACTTCCTTCAAAGAGAGTTCCCAGAGCAAGGACTCCCCCGCCGATCTTAAGGGGCGTGAGGGCTTATAGGGGAGGAGACGTTCCTTCAGGTAGTCCAGACCTGAAGATCCTTGCAAGAAAAGAGGTGAGATATACACATGATCAGCAGAAGCACACCTTCAACGTCCTGCAGACACCCTGGCTCCCATGCTTCAACTAAAGCCCTCGAAAAGACATAATGTACCATGTACTATTTCCCCCAGGTGTTTCTTCTTCAGATTGAAAGGCTGCAGAGTGATCAAAAGATGTGAAATAAAAGAAAAAAGAGGCACACTCTACTCTTGGCTACACTGCAATGCTAGAATAAGCTAAAACACCATGGCAATGAAATAAAATCACGGCAAGAGAAAAAGAGAGAGAATGAATGCCAGGTAAAAGGAAGAAAGCTGTACTACGACCAATTCTGAGAACCGGTTGGAGAATTTCTCCTCTCCCTGGAGAAAAGCAGAGAAATTTCTCTGCCACAGATAGGATGGAAAATAGAGAGGTTGTTTACAAACAGCTCTACTTATAGGAATAGTATCATCACCGCTGCATGGTAAATATCAGTGCTGGTCAGGGCTTTCTGGAGGGAAAAGATCACAGCAGAGCTTTTGCAGCATTCACTGGAAAACTTATGCAATGCCGAATACATATAAGCTAGCCTGTAAACCTCTTTACACAGAGTTGGCAGCATAAGTAGCACTTAAAGTGGGTGTAAATTTCGATTATACCCACTTGGAAGCGCACTTACACTGAACATTTGCAATCTATAACTAGATTAGATGAAATATTAATTAAAATTAATCAAGCACAGACACTGAGATCCTTTGGGAAGAAGGAACTATAAATACGCAGCTTTTAAAGGGAGGAGGGCATTTCCCATGCTTCTATGTGGCTGTTGAAATATTAAAATGTTTGTTGAAGTGGAAAAGACAAGGGAGGATCAGTGCCTCAGAATTTAGGTTTGGCCTACAATGTAATAGTGAAAACATAACTTTATTGATCTCCTTGCAAATTCAGCAAAGGAGAACAAGAGCGTTCCTCTGTTTGGGGATTTGCTGAAATACCCAAGAACACACAAGGTTGACTCCAAAAGATCAGTGTTCATATTTGAGCATTGCAATCTGATGTGGCTGCCTGTAACCCTTCAGGCTTGGATGGATGCAACCTGCAGAGGGTAGAAGAAATGCAAGCACGGGGCATAAATTCACACAAATTTCTTCAAGCATTGTTTAAAATTAAGCTTCCTTTGCTTTCCTTGTGGATATAGCTCCGCAGATATTGCCAGGGCTGCCTGAATCTCTGGGCACTGGGGAAGTGCCCCCTTTCCCTTCTGACTTGCTGGGAATCTGGGGGGCTGCAGGGACTAGCAGAGTTTTGCTCCTTCTCAGATTAAGACTGTCAAATCTCTTTCAGCCAAAGGGTATAATTCCACTTTGGAAAAGCTCTCAGGGACTACTGGTGGGCTGGAGTGAAGGAGAAAGAGGTGGGACTAGGAATGCATGCTGCCCCCCCCCCCCCAGCATACTGTAGCTTAAAGCACTCACTGCTAGCAACTAGGCATTCAGAGAGGCATTTCAACGGCACGTAAGACAAGAAATCTGCAAACAATTGGTGGGTAGGTGAAAGGGACTGATACCCATTTGGGACCCAGGAGCAAAAAAGGTTCTGAGATTCTGCAGTCCTATCTTAGATGCTTGGAGACTGTAGAAAACTCCCACCATCCACATTGTGGCCACTAGATGCTGTCAAGGAAAGACAGCAGAGGCCCTGCTCCCTCCCTCTCTCCTCAAGCCAGCATGGAAAGAATTGTGGCAGCTTTAACCCTGAGGCTGCAGGAGCAACTTTGGAAGTTCTATTTGGAGGGCACTCTGGGCAGTGGCGGAAGGGAAGAAATGGCTTGAACCTCACCTCCTTGCCCTCTTAGGCAAAAGACTTAAGACAGTCAAAACTGGCTGTATTATTGTTTCTTTTTCTTTTAGAGCAGGAGAAGAATTGGGGTGACCTCTGCCATCGCGTTTGGTGGTTCCGAAGTATGAAATTAAGACTGCTAACACGAAAACTGCACGAGTCTCTCTTCTGATTCCCCAGCTTCACATGCACTTCCTTGCAGTGCCAGATTGCGCCATGCTGGAGCAGCTTCCATGCTTCAGGTCCTGCAGGTGAAGATTACACAACCCAAACAAAGAGGCTTCCTTACAAAAGATCCAGTGTTCGCTGCAGCATACTTAGTATAACAGTTAATCCAGCAGAACCCTGCCATGAGGGGTTTTAAGGGGCTCATCAGAGGCAAGACGAAGCGATTCCCTGGGCTCACTCTTTTCATGTGAGATTTAGATTGGCACAGACATGTGATTTATTAGCTCTTTTATATCCTGCACAGATCCATAAATCAGACCAATTCATGTGTAGAACTGTAGTGAGTCTTATGGATTCTTATTTTCCTGGGCTAGTTTCAAATACATGCTGTTGCAACTAATGTAGATGGAAAATAGCTAGTGATTTCTGCCACATCACAGCTTTTCCTGCTTTATGCTCAGAAAACAATGCCCTGTAATGCACCAGGGAAAATGGAGTTGTTCCTATTTTCATAAGCTTCAAAACATGTTTTGGTTTAACTTTCTTCCTCCATTTATTAGTCAACCACCCAGCTAGTCCTCCAAGTGCAGTGCAAGCTGTGGTCTTGCAAGTCCAGCCACTGGTGTCATCCAGGACTGTACAAGAAGACATATGCAAGAACGACATACCTGTTTGCACATGTGTGTTTGTGCAAATCAATCCCACAATTAAAATAAAGTGAAAGAGCTTCCAGGCAAAAAATTAAATCATCATCACCATCACCACCACAATGCCATCACCAGATAGATGGCCACCCCACCCCCTTTTGAGATTCCAATTAAATAAGGGAAACATGGTCATTTTTCCATTGCTAAGTTTGTCCCATCTCCAGTCTGTATCAGATTGCAAGCTTCTTCTATTTCTTTCCATGTATAAATTTGAATGTATTTCCAGTGCCCCCCACCCAAATCTACACATTTCTAAAATGTATTTCAATGCACATTTAAAAACATGTGCAGTTTAAAAAACTATACAAATTATGTGGACATTTCAAAAAATGCATTGGAAATAAGAACAATTTTTTTTCTGTGGAAAAAAGAGACATTCGTAACATCCCATCTGTGTCCTAAGGTCATGACACACAGCAGAAAGCTCTAGGCCAGTAATGGGAAAGTATGGTTTCCCAGGAGCTTGTGGACTGCAACCCCCATCACTCCTCACAAATGGCTAGGTCTGGCTAGGGCTGATGGGAATTGCATTCCAAAACCTTTCTGTACCCAGGAGGTGTAGGTGGCATTTTACCACCCCCACTGTTTCCCAAGTTGCTACCACCACCATTGCCAGACTGTAATGATGCGAGGCACACAAAGTACACACACACACACACACACACACACACACCTGCCTTTCCCCCTTAAAGCAAGGCACGCAGGAATGCATGCTTCTTTTTAATGTACCTTTGCACACCCCAGGATTTCCAAGAGCCAGATTATGCCTCTAAACAAGTTCCCAAATGCTTTGCTTTAAAGGGGGAAAGTGGCTTTTCGTGGCCCCAAATTTCAGCAGCAATTTGGCAATAGGGAGATACAGCCCATGGTGGGTTTCTGGGGTAGGGAATTGGCCTCCAGACCCCCTAGAGTCACCCACCCTTTCACAGAGCCATCCAGTGGGTGCAGTACAAGAACAGAGGTGTCACAATTGTCTTCTTACTTTCCTTTCTAAGATCTCAGAGGGTAAGATCGTTGTGTGTGACTTGCTGAATGTTTTCACCACACACGAGGTATTGTGTGTCCAGATGCTGAATCCAGGCATAGATGAAGGACATTGTCCTTGGAAGTGTATCCATGTGGATCCAACATGTTTGAAGATCTATCTTGCTATATACTTGATTGTTCAGTTTATGAGGTCTTCAGAGCAAACTTGCTGACTGAGCTAGATCTTTCATTCAATAGACCTATTTGACTGACTTCTTCCTGGGAGATAGCTCCCTTCATATTTTGGAAAAGCTGGGCTGTTTTGCTTTTAGAATGTCAATTTTAAGGGAAAACATGGGTAGAGATGGTAAACAGAATGTGTTTGGTGAATAACCACTTTTTTTATTTATTCTGTTTAAAACTGTTCTATTCTGTCCCATACTTAAAAGTCTTGGGATGGATTACAAAGATTAGTCAAAAACAATGCAAAAACAAGAATAGCAGCAGCAATTGCCCAGCATTCAATGATTAAAATGTGAAAGCAAATTAACAATTAAAACACTGGGAGAATAAAAAGGGAGAAATACTGGGAGAATAAAATGGTAGACCAGCATACTTGCTGGAACCCTGGCCTACCATTTCCCTTGTTTGTGTAATTTGTTTTGTTTTGTTAATCTTTTTGGAACGGCTACATAAAAACAAGCTTTATTTTC